ATATATAAAAATATATAAAAAAAAAAACGCCTTTGTTTTCTCGTATTAATTCATGATAAAACGACGCGCCATATCAGCTTTGTGTGAGTCATGCGTTTATAAGGAATCATATAAGTCACGCAATGGGCGTTATACTTTGTATTATATTCGGCACGAACATGAGAAAGTGTTGCTAACTGTCTTTATAAACAATCTCGGATCATCCATGCGTGATGATACGTACAAAATAAAAAAACGCATAAATTACATTCTTATTAATTCTAACGATCCAAAATGAAAAAAAAAATTTATTGCCTGGAGTATCCTTTTTTTGTGTCGGATAATTTGATTTACATAACTGCACATAATATGTATGATAGAAAAGTTTACCAATCATTTAACGATCAATTTTACATGCATTATACAATCGTAAAAATTCATACGAATAAGTCTTAATGGATGTGCTATAATATATGTACATATAAAAACAAAACGTTTGTCCGATAATATATAATATATAATATATAAATATATATTGTTGATAATAATAGAGCTTTATTTTTAACCCACGCTCCTTTGTTTTCCTTTCTTTCTTTCGTATAAACGCGAACGTAAATAATCGTTCAATGAAATCAGCTGAATAACAAGACGATACGAGATGAATGATATTTCATGATAGACTCACATGATATATGATACGTAAGGACTGTTTACATATTTCAATCATATCTACTTGTTATTTTTAAACATTGATAAATGTTCGCATATATTATTTCTCGAGAAAGAGAGATTAAATTCCCAAGATATTATATATATATATATAATATCTTGATGTGTGTATGTGTGTGTGTGTGTATACATATATATATACACACATACATACATACACAATATAATAAGATATATATCTTTTAAAATAAATTCATTCATGGAATTCTCTGATTTCATTGAACGTCTATAGAAGATATATATTTAGATATACGTTTTATTATGTATTGATGAATATATTTTTAAAGTAAAAAGGAGAGTTTATTTTAGTAAAGCGCAAAGTATATTTCCTTAAGAGATCAAAGCTCTTAGACTTGTTTGAAAAAAAGTTCTATTTAAAAAAAAAAATATATATATATATATATCAAACATTTTCTTTTGTAGTTAATTTTTATCAATATATATATATATATACATATATACACGTATATTTTGACAAAAATTAACTACATATATATGTTTTATATTATCGAAAATATAAACAACTTGCAGTGAAAAGGATCAAAGTTATTGAATAAGCAGCGCTTTGTGTTACATGAAGCCGCATTCTTTGCCTGATATCAAACGATCAATCATCGCTCACGTCGTTTAGCGCTTAATCACTTGCGACTGATTCAATCTTGCTCTTTTATTTGTGTTACGATTACATATATACATTAGTCATAGATCGGAGAAGGAAGAAGATAAGGGCAAACGCATGCGAGTTAAAACGAGGCTGCGACGTGATAATTGGACCAAGGTGTTCCAGAATTACGTATTTTCCGCGTTGCCCCAAGGCAAGAATTTAGATTCGAGGACGCGACACCTGGTGACGTCTCGTAACCGAGTCATCGCCAATTTGACAAAGATTTACGGGCCGATAAAAAAGAAATATATATATATATCGTTTCCCGCTGACCTTGACCTAGTAAATAATCAGCGTGTGTCATCGAGACGGCAAATCTCTCGCGGACGAGAGTCGCGCGAAAGTAGCATAATTAAATTTAATAAATCCCACGGATATACATAACAGGACGACGACTGACTTTCTCGGAATTCTCGGCGATCAGTCGATGTGACGTCACACAGCGCGCTCGCGCTCTCGTCTTCGCTAATGCCAGGGTGTGGACAATGTAAAATACGTAGCACACGCACATATACGTGCGTGTCATGCGCGTGTGTATGGTGTGTGTATGTATACGTGTGTGCATGTAAAATGAGAGACGAGAGGGAAAGACAAGACGCAACGTGAGACGGGGACGAAAGGAGGGGAAAGGAGATTTGACGCACGCGCGGTACACATGCACACAAAGCGTCGCAAAAAGGACGCGGCGCACAATAATATTTAGCATATAGTCTCGTTCGCGTAACATATATATGCGTTACTATTACTCACCGGACTCGCTAGGCTGGACAAGGTCAACAGTAGTAACAACAGGGGCCGAAGTACACCGCCGTCGTACATCATCGCGACCGCACCTGTCAAAGTCCGACGACGATTCGCGACCGTTGAACTAGTCCTGTACATCGCGCGCGGCGATCACACTTGACCGCAGGATGTGTCACGCCCGGAATTCGTTTCCCTCTACCCGTACGTGCTGTCACCGCGACACTTAACCCCTCGACGGCTCGATTTTCCGCTGGATACCGTAACGTATAACGTCAATCACAAAATGATCATCGCCGCGAAACACCACGACGAATCCCGTCTGCACTCGCGCGCAATTCCTTTCAATGTTTCGCGACCAAACAACGACTGATCGCACCGCCGTCTCGACAGCAACTGCCACCAACACATGACGGTCAAACTCGTATGTACGTCATCGACTCGCTCGGAGCGCCACCCGGCGGCGCTCGGCCGACTTAACGATCATAGAGCACAGATAGAAATATAGAAAGCTTTTCGGCGGGAAAATACAGGTAGGCACAACGCCACGCAATTGGCTATCGAATAGAGAATTTTTAAAATGTAAAGAGAATTGTTCTATTTGATAATTAATCGTATGATGTGTTTTTTATTGGAAAGCTCCCATGGAGGGAGCAACGCCAACGCGAGAAAAGAGATGGCGATTCTGATGGATGCTTGATCGATTATGATTTTCTTTTTCTATCAAAAGAGAATATCTGAGAATGCTCTCTTCGACTTTTATTTACTCAGCTAGCAAGCGCACCTGATTTTGACGTCAAATAACGTCTTATGGACGTTAAATAACGTGATTTTGACGTTAAATGACGTGCATTTGCTACCTGGATAGATACAAATATTATTATATCAAATATTATTTGATCGACTCATCGTGTATAATTATATCACTGATACACGACACAAAGATATATAAATTAAAATCGATCGAGTGTATAAAAATTCCAATAAATCATATTAATAATACTAATAAATCATGTTAATAATACTGATACACACGAATTATTCCAAAATTGGATTTTTACTTTTAAAATAAATCGCTAGCTATCGAATAGAGAATTTTTAAAATGTAAAGAGAATTGTTCTATTTGATAATTAATCGTATGATGTGTTTTTTATTGGAAAGCTCCCATGGAGGGAGCAACGCCAACGCGAGAAAAGAGATGGCGATTCTGATGGATGCTTGATCGATTATGATTTTCTTTTTCTATCAAAAGAGAATATCTGAGAATGCTCTCTTCGACTTTTATTTACTCAGCTAGCAAGCGCACCTGATTTTGACGTCAAATAACGTCTTATGGACGTTAAATAACGTGATTTTGACGTTAAATGACGTGCATTTGCTACCTGGATAGATACAAATATTATTATATCAAATATTATTTGATCGACTCATCGTGTATAATTATATCACTGATACACGACACAAAGATATATAAATTAAAATCGATCGAGTGTATAAAAATTCCAATAAATCATATTAATAATACTAATAAATCATGTTAATAATACTGATACACACGAATTATTCCAAAATTGGATTTTTACTTTTAAAATAAATCGCTCTAACAATAATATATAAATAAAAGAATAAATTATTCTGTGAACGATAAGCGGAAAGTAATTAACACGCATTATTTATTCTCTATTAGCTATTTCCAATCTTGAAAATTGCATATCAATATTTCTAATCTTTAAAATTGAGGACATCAAACTTCGAAATTATCGAATGGTTTAAATAAAGATATGTCTTTATGTCAGTCAAAAGAATAAATTATTCTTATGAAAAATTAATGAGTTAAAAATAATTAAATTTATTTCGTGTAACAATTTCTAATCTTTTTGGACATTTTATGTAGCAATTTCTAATCTTTAAAATTCAGGCACACAATTAAATTTCGAAATTATCAAGAATGAGGCTTAAATAAAGTATGTAAAGTATGTGTACATATATAGATAATTTGTTCCATTTTTTATCTATTTACTTTAATCTTTGATTTAATCTTATGACAAGCAATGTGTATTAAGTATAATTAAAGAATGAATTGTCATTATTTGTTCTTAGAAATACGTGTTAAATGATATTTCTTTCCTAAAAAAGATATCGATTGTTTGAAGTGAACAACTGGTTTAATACAAATAGTTTTTTGCGACTCGCTATGTGTGACTAACGTTACTTGAAATAATCCGATAGATTTATGAAAATGCGATAAGATGTGTTACATGAAAGTTCGTAAAAATCTGTACGATTATAAAGTATAACAGATGCTAAATGTTCATATCAATTCGTCTGATCACGATTTAATGTACCGGATAAGGCGAGGACAAATCGTGCGCATGCTCATGAATTTTATCTCTTTTTGAAAGATATACATAATTCATTATTCGAAAAATACGTAGTTCTGTAAAAACGCAATTAAAGTTTTAGTTATTTTATGCTATTTTTTATATTAAAAGAAATTTTTGGAGATGCTAAAAATAATTAAAAAATTATTATATACTTATTTTATATGGAACGTTTTACGTTTTATTTTACGCATTAAATATTAAACGCGTTACGTTCTTTACTAGTTTTTATCATCGTAAAGCGATCGTAAATGTAAGAGTCTTCATCTTTGAAATTCTTTTTAAATTTATTTCTAATCAATTAATTTCTTATGCACGTTTTTTGTACTCATTAATACTAATCTTCGCTCTTTGAATATAATTTGCTAAAGATGGATTCCTACTTTGCATATAGTATTTCGCGCTCGTGATTCAGCAAATTTAATGTATTTCTTGACTTCTTTGCAATATTTGTAGAAATTTTTGTCGACATACTGCTATTTCTATATTTTATTATATTTATAATGTTTTTAAAATCCCTATATGTCATCATGATATTTAACAAAAATGTAATCTCTCAATAGTTATTTTTATAAGAGAGATTTTTCTAAATTGTTGCATTAAAACTTTTTTTGTTAAAATTTCAAACAGAGATACAAATCAAATCACGTTACTCCTTAACAAAAATTATGTTTTTTCGTTCATGCAACTTTTATGAAAAAAGTTCAAATAGAATTTGACGATTTTTTTGATGAAGTTGCTATTTATACATTTTGTCAAGGTATTTTAACAATTTTAGGAAAAAAATAATAAAAAGAAAAATCAATTATTCTTTTAAACAACTCTATACAAGTCTTCTTAATAATTTACGATCGTCTTCATTTATTTCCAACGTATTCATTATATCGCTGCAAACATGTGTACAATCATATAATCTTTTGCACACCGGAAATATCATTCGGGTCTGCACGCATATCGTATATTTATTTCAAACTGACAATCTTGTTTACGAAATAGTTGTTTTTAGAGAATGAATGATTTTCTCTCTTCCTCTCTTCCCCGTTATTTTTTATTCTCTCCTCTTAAGAAAATTCAGACTTTGATTTAATTCTATTTATAGAATTAATCTCATTTTAGATATGAGATGTGAAATATCTCAATAGAGTGGAATATTTACAAAACAAAAAGAGATAAATTTGAAAAAAATCGATAAAACAAGAACTTATGATTAGGAAAATAAAATTGATTAACAGCTTCTTGATTGGATTGATACTCCTATGATTTGCAAATTATATGCATGGAATTTTTTGTATCTCGTCTTATTTCAATAAACACAATTGTTAAAAGTCAATTTATTGAATGTTTTCTTTATTAGACAGCAATAAAACGAGATATAAAAAATTCCATGCATTGCCTTGCATATATAACTTGCAAATCATAGAGTGTCAATCCATCAGTGAGTTGAAATAATTCTGTAGTTTAATCTCATTAGTATCTTAAAAGCAAACATTTTACTTTGTTCAATAGATAGTTCTTGCACGCGAGAATCGTAATTGAAGTCTTCCTGTTTTTGTCCATTTTAGAAAACAGAATTGAAATTTGTTCTTAATACATAGCATAGTTAAAAATCTATATATTGCAATTTAAAATTAATTTTAGAATCAGTTTTCCTAACATTTTTAAAAACATTAGAAATAAAATTCTACTCCGACCCTATAACAAAAATATATTCTCATTTTAAATATTTATTAGCTATTATAACTTAAAAATCTAAGTATGTATTAGATTTTTAAGTTATAATAGCTATTAAATTAGATTACTTTCATAGACAATTATATATATTACTATATATTAAAAAAGCTCCAAGTGTCTGAAACTCTGAACTTCACAGAAATCTAATCTGTCACTATGTTTTATAATTATCTGTTTTATTCTTTATATTTTATAATAATTTTCCTTTTTAAGCTAGATTGTACACTTGGCGTCATTAATAGAATCCTGATTTAATCTTTAATGAATTATTGACTTTGAAAGCAAGATTATCATTACATTTGGTAATGATACGAGCTTCTAATTCATATTTTACTGATAATAACATTATACAATAATCTATATCTAAATATATAAAGTTATATAGTATCTTGTTATATACATTTGTTTTATATAAAATAATATTTACATGACGTGTAAAAGTACACTAATATAAACTATAAATATAGATTGTAACAAATTTCTATGACAATTGTTTATTCATAGAGTTTCAACATATAAATCTAAATGTTTATATATAAATGTCATTTATTTAATTATTAATGTATAACATTATTAATGTTATACAAAACATTACATTACATTATACAAAAAGATGGCTTTTTATTGTCATTAGCCACTAATTTCTCGCATAAGAATACACACACATATATTTTTTTCTTAAGTTATTTTATATTAATTATAATAATTGTAATGGTAAGAAAAAATATTAATCATGTTATAAATATCAATTGAGTAAAAATTTATAAATCAAGAATATAACAAATGCGCAATCAAACTATATTTTAACCAAAATTAACATTTTAAAATTCAGTTTGATGTACTCTGTAAAAGCATTCGGCTTCGTTTAATATTTCCAGTCTTGCAATTATTGACACTGCTAGCAAATCTCAACGAATTTAATGTCTCGTTATAGCATTCATCTAATGGCGATATATTTAACAACATTAAAGTTTTCGAATTGCCTCCCAAAGAAGGCATAAGCAAATGGGTCAATTTAGAATTTCTATATGGAATATGTTCTTGTTTTTTTAAAAGAGCTAAGATAACATTACCAAGATTTGCTAATGATTTATTGATATTCTTCGTTTCTGTAGTTCTGACAGCTTCTTCACTCTTCAAACGTTCAGATCCAGCTAAGTCAACTAAATTTAAATTTCCTATCGATACCTCCTGTTTTCCACTGTGCGTGCCAATCAATTGTATTCTCGTTACTGAATGTGATCTGGATGATCTAAAAAGCAAATCACACACACATAAACAATTATAATTTCTAATATTATATTCTTATTTAAGAGAGGAAAAAGCTGTCTTATTTTTTGTAACTTTTTTTTGTATCTTGTTTTTTTGTAACTTTCTGCTGCAATTTGAATTATAAATGTCGTACGAATATAACTTACCGCTCATTTGCCTTAGTAGCCGCAACAGCTCGGTTGCGTTGTGCAGTTTCAAGACATATGTGCAATTCTTCTGGACTGTGTATTTCTTCTATCTGAAGATTGCTGACATATAAATCCTGACCTTTGCTATCCACCATTCGTATTTCGTGCGTCTTTAGTTGCGAATCGAGAAGATCAACAATATGTTCATTGTAAATTTCTAGAAAACTTGCTTTTACTCGATACTCCCAACCAAGAAGTTCAAACTGTTTCATTTCTTTGAATATGTGACGTACCTAAAATTATACATAAATAAGTTCGATTCTTGTAGAAAAATTATTAGTGCACAAATTTAAATTATATTTATAAAAAATATAAATTATATTAAATAATATAATTACATTTATAAAAAAAATATATTTATTTGAATTTTTTTTAAGAGAGAAACTGTTTGAAACAATTGCAAGCTAAATTTGTATGTATAAATTAAAATATAATCTAATAATTTCAACTAGTATTTACTATATCATAATATACACATACTGTTCTAGGTATCATGCCTTCGGACTGCTCCTTCATTTCTCCTTCATCTCTTGTTTCTCCTTCCATAGTGTATGTTTTGCCAGAACCAGTCTGGCCATAAGCAAATACACAAACATTATATCCCTCAAGAGCCGACTGTACTAAAAAGGATAACTCTTCAAATATATCTTCTTGCGACGCTTTATGAGTGAACACTTTATCAAATGAAAACTCTTGCTTTGTTCCTCGTTGCTTTCCGCTACAGCTTACTGCATCTGATCCATCCAATTTGCCCACTTCAATAGTACAGTCGTCTATATAGTTTATGCTACACAATCTACAAACAATAGGTTCAAATCAATGGATCATGTTAGAGATATACTTAACTGCAAAGTAAAATTACATTTACAGAAGTCTACTTACGCTTTCATCTGTTCAACTTCTTTTGGAGTTCGCGGACGAACTCTACAGAATACTCTGATATTGCCCTTTAATTCTTGTATATTATTGTGTAGCACTCTACATTTTTTGTCCATTTCATATGCCAATGCTTGTAATTGTTCTTTGACATTACTCAGATCCTCATTTATCTGTTTTTGTAATTCCAGCTCAGCTGTCAAAGTTGTCAATTGTGTAGTTTGTTTTGAAATCAGTATCTCTTGTGTTTTACATTTCTCTTTATATTCATTCAACATGTAAGTAATGCTTGCGCACGATTCTTCGGACTCTTTTAATCGTTTTGTCAAATCTTCTTGATGTTTTTGTATTGTAGACATTTCTACTGTTAAAGTCTGAACTTCATTAGTTAAGATATTGTTTGAATCCTCAAGTTTTTCTGCTTTAGTTCTGCATGCAGCCTCACTAGTTTTTAAACTATTTACCAATTCTTGCAGGGCATTATACTTTGATTCTACATCTTTACTTTTCTGTTCTGCAACTGATAATTTATCACTCGTTTGTGCCAAGCGACCTCGCAGATCCCAACTTTTTAATTTGTTTGACTTGTTATCTGTATTATTCTGTAATACTTGGTTCGTTTTCTTTGCTGTATTATTAGTCATCAATGCTTTACCATTTGGTTTGTTCGCTACTGCTTTCGTAACAGGTTTAAGAAGTGGTTTCTTTGGTTCCCCATGTGTTATAATCGTACCTGCTCTTTTCACAGCATTTATATTGTTCGATCGTGTGATTGTGGATAATGTTTTTGCACGGACTAGAGTAACTGGTGGTTTATTCTCTTTTGTAAATTTTGTTGTAGTAAGGGAGCTTGTTGGTGCTGATTTTACAGTCGATACTGATTTTGATGTTGAGATACTATTTACCTCTTTGGCCGTTTTGTTATTTGTACTTTTAGTCTTTATATCCATTGTAGAAATTGCTTTTGTTAATGTAAGTTTTGATTTTGGTAAGCGAGATTCCATCTATCAAACACATAATAAAACAATTTAAGTATTAAAAAAATAAAACATGAATAATAGAAATGTAAATAATAAAAACTTACGCTTTGATTCTCGTGAAGTTTTGATGACAGCTATAATACCATCTGCTTTTTTTGAACTTGGATTTAACCGTATCACATAAAAGAAGGGGAATGAAAATCTTCACAATCACAAAAGAAATGTAAAATCAATGCACAGAAACGTAATAGAAACACACTTTGATCTTCTAAAGTTTCTACAACGGTTATCAATTCGCAGCATCTGCTGTTTGTAACTTGAATTTAATCGTGTATGTTAAATCGACCTATAAGAGAAACCGAACGGTCGTTCACTTATTACTTCGACGAATCGCACGTCAGATACAAAAGACTGACCAATGTGTATTTAGAAGGGGAAGATTGAGTAATCGTTACGTATACGATGATGTATAGATACATGTGCATATGCATTTTATGCACACAGCGCAGCACGCTAAAAGGCGACGCGGTAGCCAATCAATTTACAACTTTTCCATAAGAGCGAAAGATTGATTGGCTATCGCGTTATCTTTTGCTGCATCCTGTGTACAGGAGGATGACATTACCGATTATTTTGACTGCATTGGAGATAATTACACGCCTTATTTTAATCATGTGAATATTTTAGCCCATCCAGTTGTAATGTTATTATCAGAAATGTATACATTTTTTATGTAGCTGTCTCAAAAATAATAAAATAGACATTTTATTATATCAAAAATCATTGCTTTATTACCGACAACGCAAAGATTTACTTATCTACAGTAGCGCGCAGCGAGTTTTTTTTCTTCAAGTTGATTATTATGCTAATTTCCATAAAGCTGGCCATCTTTAACAGTACATACTTCGTTGGTGATTATAATAATTACGTACATTTTATATAATCATAAGACACGATTTTGTCAAATTTATCATGCGGACGATCTTGAGTCTCGACCATCAGCGCATGTGGAATTATTTTTCAGTGTCAACATTTTTATATAGCTGTATGATGTAAGAATAAACTGTATATTCTATTCTAACATTACCATTCGAGCGATGACACAATTGATCCGATAAAATTGATCGTACAATAGCCGCGTGATGAGAAGTCCAGCATGTAAATAGTGTCAGGTGATTGAAACTGTGCTATTTTGGCTGCCCGTTTTTCTGTCATTGGAATTTTTTATGTTTTTATTATCAATCAACCGTATATTGTCTCATTGATGAGATTCATCTCGCATAAATTCGCTCCTCCAGGTACAGGTGAGTAACATGTGTATTAATTGTTATACAACGAATGATTTTATACTTATTAATATCTGTCCATTCGAAATAATTCTGCGAGGATAATAACTAATTGAATTGAAGGTAATGATTGTTGACAATTTTTGTTATTTTTTCTTAATACGATGTTTATAGATAGCTATGTCAACAATGGAAGCAATTGTTTAAAACTGGATAGGTCAAATAAATAGTTTACAGATATTTATAATATTTAAACCGAAATTTAATCATGATATTTTATCTATTTGATAAGCTTAGAATTTTTTAACTCAGAAAAATAATATTGTGACTGTTCAAAATTCTTAAATTTTTGAATTACATTTTCATTTGATATGCTATTAGTTTTGTGAAATCATAAGATAAGTGAAACAAAAAAGACAATGTAAATGTTTTCAAATAGTTGGAATTGTTTCAAATGTTCTTAAAATGTTTAATATGGAGAATCTTTTGGCTTGTGATTTTAGTTGTGTGTGTATGTGAGAGATAGTAGTATTTTAAAGATGCTACATATAATCTTGAGCTTAATGATAAATTTTATACATTATATAATATATTGTATAAAGAATTTTATCTTGTATAGCAACGAATTAAAGATGGCTGAAAAACTTGCAAACAATCAACCACAACCCATTGTTAAGATAGGCCATTATACGTTAGGCCAGACTTTAGGTGTCGGCACATTTGGTAAAGTAAAAAGTACGTATTTGTATATATACATATATGATTTATATGACATAAAAACACTTTAATACTGTATATATTTTTTCATACAATATTATTACTTACAGTTGGAGAACATGTTTTAACAAAACACAAGGTTGCCGTGAAGATTCTGAATCGTCAAAAAATCAAAAGCCTGGATGTTGTAGGCAAAATTCGCAGGGAAATACAGAATCTTAAACTCTTCAGGCATCCTCATATCATCAAATTGTAAGTATTAATTAATCATTTAAAAAAATTTTGCTGATATTTTATTATACATACATGATTTATACATATACATACATGTATATAAATATTTCATATATGAGTGAGAGAGAACTCTCTAATCTTTTAGAAGCAATAAAGTAAATTTTATAGAATGTGAAAACTTTAATTTGAAAACAATATTATTCTATTTGAAAATTTTTGCCAGATGCCAATTTTTAAATAAACAATTTCTATAATTTAGTGCTAGCTTTAACATACATTTCACATATACAGATACCAGGTCATAAGTACTCCTACAGACATATTCATGATAATGGAATATGTCTCAGGTGGAGAGCTGTTTGATTATATCGTTAAGCATGGTAAACTTAAGGAGTACGAAGCGCGACGATTTTTCCAACAGATTATATCAGGCGTCGATTATTGTCATCGACATATGATAGTCCATCGCGATTTAAAACCGGAAAATCTTCTGTTAGATCACAATCTTCATGTGAAGATCGCAGATTTTGGTACATGGATACAGTTAGCATACATCGATAATCCTATTATACATAAGCGTTAACATTTTTCTTTAACAAAAATTTGCAGGTTTATCAAATATGATGATGGATGGTGAGTTCTTACGTACTTCGTGCGGTTCTCCGAATTATGCCGCGCCGGAAGTAATATCTGGCAAATTGTACGCCGGTCCCGAAGTAGATATCTGGTCGTGTGGTGTTATATTGTACGCGTTACTCTGCGGTACTTTACCATTTGACGACGAACACGTTCCTACTCTCTTCCGCAAAATTAAATGTAAGTTCTTACTCTCGGAGAAAATGCACGCCAAAGCACTTTCTCGAATGCATCTTAGATATTGCAATTATAATTCGCCTTTAATTTTAGCTGGTGTCTTTCCTATTCCGGAATATTTGAACAAGACTGTTGTTAGTCTCTTATGCCATATGTTACAAGTTGATCCAATGAAGAGAGCAGCTATTGAAGACATTAAGTACGTTAAATAATAGACAATTCTATTTTAATTAAAAATACGACTATTATATCTAATATATTCTTCAATTTCAGAAAACACGAGTGGTTCCAGAAGGATCTACCATCATATTTGTTCCCGTCACCCGTTGAACAAGATTCATCCGTTATCGACATTGATGCTGTGAACGAAGTGTGTGAAAAGTTTAACGTCAAAGAACCGGAAGTACACTCCGCGCTTTTAGGCGGTGATCCGCATGATCAGTTGGCGATCGCCTATCATTTAATAATCGACAATAAAAGAATCGCGGATGAAGCTGCTAAGGCTGAATTAAAAGACTTTTATGTGGCGTCTAGCCCACCGCCGGTAGCCTTTAGTCCGAATGACGCGACCAGCAGTCCCTTGAGGCCTCATCCAGAAAGAATTGCACGTATGTAAAACATATAAATGAAACAAATACGATTTATTAATTCTTAAATACTCACGTTGTTCATCATTCAATTTGAAATTTTTATAAAGTTTAAACAATATTATGTTGCAAAAATTGTGAGACGCATCAAACGTTATCATAAGTATTTTGTCTTGGACAACTATTTTATTATTATTTTCAACCTTGTATAAAACTAAATCTATAAAAGAGTGAAAAGTGTATTTTAGCTAATTTCTCTGGTAATAACTGTGTAATAATAATGTTATAGCATATCGTGAACGTCAAGGTTCGCAAGGTAGTGCATCTGCACAGACGCAAGGCAATCGCGGTACACCTGTGAAAAGGGCGAAATGGCATTTAGGTATCAGATCGCAGTCAAAACCAAATGACATTATGAATGAAGTTTATCGTGCCATGAAAGCGCTTAACTTTGTAAGATTCATCATACTGAATTGTGTACTGTAGCAACAATTATTCACTTACGCATGATATTATACGAATTGTCTTTTTAGGAATGGAAGATTATAAATGCATACAGTGTTAGAGTACGACATAAAAACAACTTAACTGACAGATATAGCAAGATGTCATTACAGTTATATCAAGTTGATTATAAGAGTTATTTATTAGATTTCAAGTCCTTGTCGACCGAAGAGGATGACATTGGACGAGGTAAATTATTTAATAACAGAATCACCGAGATAGCACAAGCATAATTTATGTGTAAAATATATATATATATATTCTTTTAGATCCAACATTGCCACCTCCACAAGCAACGGGCCACCACACAATGGAATTTTTTGAAATGTGTGCAGCATTAATTACACAATTGGCGCGATAGCGTGCCTGTTTTTTGAAAATTAAATTCCATTACAGCTTGTGCTTTTAATGGTGTATAGTATGAAATAAATGCAGGCTACTATAAAACAAATCGTAAGTTTTGTCCTGTAATTTGCAAGTTAATATATATTTTTCAAGTCATATTAATTTTTTAATCCAAAAATTAAAAATATATAATTGTGTGCAAAAAAAAAAATATATATATATACATATATATATATAACAATGGCGCTCCGTTTGACGCTATTTTTGTTTCGAAGCATTTGATATATCGATCAGGACGAAGAATCTTGTGCTTTGAAGTGAAAATAGTATCGCATGGAATGCATTTAATGTTACAAAAATTATTAAACAGCGCAATATCTATATATTATCATTTATTATTAAATGCTATAATTAAATGTTACATTATTACAATCTATTATAAATTACAACACAAATATATATATTTTTCTAAAAATGATTATTAATTCTATCATATTGTATATCTATAAAATTGGTTCGTATCAGAAAAACCAAGAATGTGTGTGCATATGCTTAGAAAAATATACATTATATATCCTTGTCATATTTAAATTTATCTCACGTACATATGGACATAAATAAAGTTATTTCGAATAGAGGATTAACACATGTTGAAATGATGGAAGTAATTTATATGTATAATATAACCATAATTTTTCTCGTTATATTACAATTGCTATGATTGATTATTAAATTTATAATAGAAATTTTTTTAATCAATATACATATCGATTAAATAACTATTATATTTGGAAATTATTGAAATTTAAACATTTTTGTTGATATCAACTTGATATGTCTTAAACTCAACTATATGCTGAAAATTTAAGCACCATTTTATCATTGGAATTAATCAATAATTAAAGACAAAATATACATAATGGCACATTCCACACATCTCATCTCATTTTATACAAACATGTGGCTCGATTCTGGTAATGCTGCCAAAGAACTGCCCGTTATATGTTATCCAGCTTGCCTTGTTTTGCACATCGAATATCAAAACGGACGTAAAAAATACAAATTGGACCATTTTATATTTTATCTTTTTCTTAAACATTAAACGGAAGAGACTCTTGCTTAGACACAAAGTTTATTGATATGGAATACTTCCACAGTTTATCTATCTTAATACTGTGCATAATTTTAGGAAGATTATGGAGAACTTATGCAATTTGGTACTAATATAATGATGGAAATGTCAAATGCATATAGTAAATTAAAAAACCAAATGTGATAATATATATATATATATATATATATATATATATATAATATATAAATTTAGAATCTTGTCTCAAGTCTTTTATGCGAATATAATTCTAAAGGTTTCTAATCTCTTTATCACCTAC